GTTGGAAGTCAGGGACCTCAGGATTCCCCTCTGGAGCTGAGAGGAGGGGGGCCCTACAAACAAAGGCCAGCAGGAGACCCTGCATGCCTAGCAAGGCTGCTGTAGGCCCCACACACCCTTTTGGACTTAGAAGAGACAGGGAGAGATCGCCATCAAGGTGAACTGTGGGCACTGGGAAGTGCAGCCCCTGCACTAGTGTTGGAAATCAGGGACCCCCAGGATTCCCTTCTGAAAATGAGTAAATACAGAGGGAGGAGATCTTCCACCACATCACTACCCTTGTGGAGTCCACTGTAGCAGAGCTGGACTTGGTCTGGCCACCCGTTCCCAAATCCCAGAAGGAGCACCCAAAAGCGAGGCCTACCAGAACCAGCGGCACAGTGTCCCCATGCATAGAACAAATTAGAAAACAAAACAACAGGGAGAAGGGAAAATACAAATAACCAAGAAGCCCTCGGGGGAAGGACACACCACAAAAAAAACAGCCACCAGAACTCAACAACAATGACGTGGAAGAACTCGACGGCCTGCCAGATAAACAATTTAAAATTGTCTTGATTAAAAAAAAATAAAGAAGATGAAAAGGAAAAGAAAGATATGAGAAATATAATGTATGAATTGAAGAATGAAATTGAGACCTGACAGAAGGAAATGAAGGAAGCACAGGGGATGAAAAAATGAGTGGAGGAGCTAAATTTAGAACTCTGAGAAAAGCAACAAAAACAGAACTGATGAAATAGAAGAACAAAATAAAAAGAACCAAAAAAGAAAAGGAAAGATATGTCCAAAGGAAAAAGAATGAAGAAACACTTCGAGAACTATCTGACACCATGAGGAAATGAAACATAAGAGTTATAGGTATCAGAGCATCCCTGGTGGCGCATGAGGTTAAGCACTGCGCTATGAAGCAATCCACAGCCTCTGTGGCACGAGTTCAATCCCTGGCCGGCCAGGGAACTGCCCACATGGCTCAGCAGACCCCTCCTGTCTTGCCCGCTGCTCCCCTCAGCAGTGTATTTCAGTGGATCTGCCTGTTCTGCTCCCCACTCTGGTGAATCTTCTCAGCCCCTGCATCTCTGGCCTGCATCGAGCTCTTGTATGCATAAATAAATAAATCTTTTAAAAAAAAGTTATAGGTATCAGATCTCCCTAGTGGTGCAAGGGGTTAAGACACAACCTATGGGGCCTCCCCGGTGGCGCAACGGTTGAGCGCTGGGTTGCGAAGCTGCCCGCGGCCTCTGCGGCGCCGGTTCGATCCCCAGCTGCTCCCCGGCCACCGGAGGAGGGTCCCGCATGGCGTGCAGACCTCTCCTGCCGCCTGCTGCTCCCCTCAGCAGTGTACTTCGGTCCTACTGCCTGCTGTGCTCCCCGCTCTGGCTCTGGTAAATTCTCTCACCCTCCCCCGCTTCTGACTCTACCCAGTGCATGTATAAACAAAACAAACAAATAAATAAACAAATAAATAAAACATGCCTCTATTTAAAAAAAAAAAAAGACACAACCTATGAAGCTATCAGCAGCCACTACAGCAGGAGTTCTATCCCCAGCCAGGGAGCTACCCACATGGCACAGCAGACCTCTCCTGACTCAGCAATGAATTTCACTCAGTCTGCCTGTTCTGCTCCCCACTCTGTCTCTGGTGAATCCTTTCACCTCTGGCCTGTACCCCAGTTCTTGTACGCATAAATAAATAAATCTTAAAAAAAAAAAAGGAGTTATAGGTATCCCAGAAGGCGAGGAGAGAGCCCAAGATTCTGTGAAACTATTCACAGAAATTAAGCATGGAGTTTGGTGATTGTGTCAACATTGCTTCATTAGGTGTAAAAAAAAAAAATGACAACTTTAGTCATGTAAGATGTTAAAGTGGAAATGGTGTGGGATAAACAAGAACTGTACTACCTTTGCAACTTTTCTGTAAATTTAACAGTATTCGTTAAATGTTATTTTTTTTTTTAATGTCCTCAATACTAAATAGGCTGTAGATGGAAAAAAATGATCCACTTTCCAGTTTTCCCAGGTCTTGTTATCCAGGGACTGGAGAGAGGGGTTCTGGGAGAAAAGACGGAAACCTCACACACAGGGCAGGCTCCGGAGTCTCCTCTCCTCTAGCCCTGCTGCTCTGACAGAGGATCTCACCTCACAGAGCATCTCACCCCAGGACGCCGCCCTCAGGCATCCCCAGCTGTGCCCACCTCAGCCCCCGCCCCATCCTGGCGGCTCCCCCAGAATCCGGAGCAGCGCGGCAGCGCCCCCGTGTGGCCACAGGGCTGAGCACAGGAGCCCAGAGCCGCCCTTTCTCCTGCTCAGCCAGGCCCTCCCCAGGCTCCCTGGGCCCCCAGCGGCAGGACAGGGATCTGCACACAAGGGGGCGCCCAAGTCTGCGTCAGTTTAAGCATCCCCATGTTTTGTGTCTGGTGGTCTCTGGGACATAACAACTGGCCCCTAGGTTCTGGGCAAATCCCTAAATATAAAGGTCGCCTCAGTCTCTTGGCATGGAAACTTAGATTCCAGGGTCCCTGTAATTTGTTTCTGCCTCTGCTTCCAAGGACGAAAGCCCCTCCTCCTGGGAATCACCTGATATTCTCCATCCTTGGAGGAGGGGAGGGCCTAGGAGAGCCCCCAGGGCACTGGCTAGGAGGATGGGGAGGCTCCTGGAAAAGAGAGCAGAGGATGGAAATGGGGACTTTAAGGGACAGCAGTGGAGAGGGGTGCAGGGGGAGCCAGAGAGGACCAGGCAGGAAAGGGGCAGCACGGGGAACACTGAGGGGGAAGGTCTGTGTGGGTGACACGGGCTGTCACTGGGGGGCTGAAGCATCTGTCTCCCCTGGGGGGATGTAGCAGTGCTGGCCTGTAACTGCCCAGGGAACTGCGCACATCCGGGACCTTGCCTGTCCTTGCAGGGCTGGTGTCACCCACACACACGCACATGCTGGTGACGGAGAGGACTGTAACAGGAAGGTCCCCAGGGGAAGGTCTGGGTTCCCTGCCCCACCCAAGGGGGGTGAAGCTGAGCAGGGAGGGAAGATGGAGAGGAGGCTGAGGTGGGAGGAAGCAGGATGGAGCCAGAAGGAGACCTGGGGGAGGCACATGGGGCAGAGACACGTGAAGAAGCTGCACTTGCTTCTTGGCCTTGGACTGGGTGACACAGACATGGGTGAGAAATCCATGCGGAGGTTGCAATGGCAGCTTCTACCTCGATTTTGCTTTTTTCCTTCCACACTTGTCAGCCCCGTCCACCCTTTTCTCTGGGTCCCACCAGGAGGGGCTTTAGACTGTGACAGGTTTTCACCCCTGCTTGGACCAACCCTGTTTGGCTGAACATTTACCCACAGAGGGATGGTGACTTTGGATGCTTGATTGGAAACTTTATTCTTTCCTTTTTCTTTATTGCACACTGATTGTAGTAAAGATCCTTTCCATTAAAGGTTTTACATGTTTTGTCCTGATACCGCAGATGGCAGAGAGATGGGGGAGACAGACAGTTAAAGGGAGGCTGCCCTCCTTATCCAGAACATCCCCACTAAGCTCTCGAATGCTGGGATGTCAGGGAGATTCAGGGACCCAAGAGGAGGGCAGAGCAAGGCCTGGGCCACCCTGGAGGACCAGTCCTGAGGGCTGATTCTGGGGCTCCAGGGCCCCACTTCCTACAGGCGGGTCAGAGTCAGCCCCATTCACAGCTCCAGGCTGCTGTTCCCCTCTGTTCCTGCAGACACCACTCTGGAGATGGTGTGAAAAATAAATGAACAGCAAAATTAAATGGACTCTAAAAACAGTAGAAATAATTTTTTAAAATCGCGTTTATTTTGAAGGACACTTTCAGGGGATATGGATTCCTTGTCTGACAGCTCATTGCTATCAGGACCTTGACTGTCAGATGAGCTACTCTGGCCTCCACTGTTTCTTGCAAGAAAACAGCCACTGATCACTTTATCGCCTTAATTTTTTACTGGTTTGTGCCAAGTCACTTCAAACTTAGCAGCTCAACCACGAATATCTGGCATCTGTGGAGGGGAGGCAGCAGGAGGGGCCTCACTTAGAGGCTTCAGCTTTGGATCCCACGAGGCTGCGATGGGGACGAGATGTTGGTGGATCTGAACAGCCGTAATCAGCATGGAAGGACCTGCCTCAGAGCTCCTGCATGTGGCTCCTGGAGAAAACCCTCAGTTCCTTGTCCTGTGGGTATCCCCTTAGCTGAGGGGAACCCGGGCAGGAAGTCTCAGCCCCTGTGAGCCTGACTCTCTGACATGGCATGTCCCTTCTTCTTTATTCTCCTCACAAGGAAGAGCCAGCAAGTCAGACACACAGGGGGTTATTGGGGGGGGAGCTGTCTCCCCTCCTGTGTATCAGAAAATTTGTGTAAAATTGAAAACCAACACAATAGACCTTCTGAACACTAATTATTTCCTTTCTTCCCACATGATAAATAAACTCCCTCCCACCCAAGGCCTATGAAAGTCTCTCCCATCACAGAAGCACCGTGACATCAGCATCTCATCACGTGACTCAGGACCACACAGAGGAGGCTCCTAGAGAGCATCTGTGCTGTGAAGCCGTCTGAGCTCAGGTCCTTGTGGGCTGAGGCAGTTTCCTGCACCACAAGCCCTGGATGTGGATACAGTGGAGGACAGACACAGGGCAACTTGTAGAACCATTTTTTAATATGAATCTTGTTGGGAGAGACCCCGCACAGTGAGCAGAAGGTCCTTGACCTGAGTCCCTAAGGCATGTGAAAACACACGCGTCTCAGAAGAAAACCTCTGAGTGACCGGACTGGTGTTGAGTGCCTGGAAATTGACCTGTGTAGAGTCATGCCTCAGTATTCCACAGCCAAAAACCAATTAGGAGCAAAACTCTCTGCTCTAGCTAATGAGCAATCAGATGACGTATAGGAGTTGACCACCTGGCACTTAAAATTCAGGAGTAGGCAGATATCAGTAGCAAAGTAAAATAGTTAATCATTGAAGCTGTCACTCTATGGTACGCTTTGATGTTATGCCTAATGCACCCTGAGAAAGTATATAACGAGCACGAAGACAATAAAGATTCACTGCAGGCTGGACATGACAGTCCCCCGTGTCTGATTTCCCTCCCCGTCGTGTCCCAGGTCCAGGACTCACCAGAAGTCCACAAGTGGCGCCAGAACAGGGACCTGAAGGGAACCTACCACTAAAGTGACGAGGTGACGATGGTGGCGGTGAAAGTTTGCAAAAGGTGGTGAGTAAACAAGGGGAAAATACAGCATGGGGCTCTCTTCTCGTCTTTCTACTTTCGCTTCTTTGTGGAAACATTTATTAGCTGAAAAGGGAGCAAAAGTCCCACTCTCTCAAATTCTTGACTATTTATAGGTTGTTACCGAATATAATCCTTGGTTTCCTGATACTAGTACTTTTGATATAGAAACTAGAGAACAAATAAGAAATAAGGTGACATGGTCTTATAAATGGAAGAAGAAATGCTTCAAGCATTTCCTGTTAATTATTTGGCAAGGAGGCCAGGTTTCTCCCTGCTAGAATTTTGCCATTTGTTCTTTTTAAGAAAAATAAAAAAGATATTTCTAAATAATAGTATTCAAAGTTCATTCACAATTGTTAAAGTGGTAGAAAAATGGTTAAATATGACTATATGATACTATATGACTATAATATGACTAAAAGGTTTTTATTAAAATAGAATAAACCCACTGTGGCGGACAGGTGGCGGCTGCCCCTGGTCTCAACAAGCAGCTGCCTGAACTTTTTCTCTGGTGTTGGGATCACTGGCAGGTCTCCACTGCCTTCCTGTTGTGGGGGACTGGACTTTCCTTTTGTCTATCTTAAAAAACTATTTGGTTCATTCTACGAAAAAACTTCTATTTCACTGTGTTTTTCTGATTTAAAGTCTAGATTGTCTAAGGTAAAAACTGCTGAGTTACTTTGGACTTGCTAGCAAGCTATACAGAATGCTTATTGGTTGAATAAGAGCTTTTAAATTTACTTTTTGGACCTGTAAAAGGTTAAGCTTCTTGTTAAAACTAATATACCTGGTAAAATATAAAGTGTTAATACAGCTAAATTCTAAACCTCAGATTTTGATAAAAGCCTAAAAATGGACAGACTGTAAAAATTTACCTATTCTCCTGCCCTCAGATAATAGTGTTCTTTTTTGTCTTAAAAATATGCTTGTTCTTGGACCTCCCCGGTGGTGCAGCGGTTGAGCTCTGGGTTGCAAAGCTGCCCGCAGACTCTGCGGTGCCGGTTCGATCCCTGGCTGCTCCCCAGCCACCGGAGGAGGGTCCCACATGGCGCGCAGACTTCTCCTGCCGCCTGCTGCTCCCCGCAGCAGTTCACTTCGGTCCTTCTGCCTGCTCTGCATCCTGCTCTGGCTCTGGTGAATTCTCTCACCCTCCTGTGCTTCTGACTGTACCCAGTGCTTGTATAAATAAATAAATAAATAAATCTTAAAAAAAAAATTTCTTATCTAAAAAGTTAGTAAAAACTGCTGTGACTGTTGTGGTCTCGAGCTCAAGGTCTGTGGTAATAATTAAGATTAAACACTTATTCTATGTAAAGTTTTTAGATTTTAACTCATTAAAAACCTTCTTAATATAAAAGTGTATAGAAAAAATTTGGTAAAGGAGAATTTTTTTTAAGATTTATTTATTTATTTATACAAGTACTGGGTACAGTCAGAAGCGTGGGAGGGTGAGAGAATTCACCAGAGCCAAAGTGGGGCGCAGAACAGGCAGACCAACGAAGTACACTGCTGAGGGCAGCAACGGGCAGCAGGAGGGGTCTAAGCGCCATGTGGGACCATCGCCCAGCGGCCGGGAACTGAACTGGCTCTGCAGAGGCTGCGGGCAGCTTCACAACCCAGTGCTCAACCGCTGTGCCACCGGGGAGGCCCGGTAAAAGAGAATATTAAACATAAATAAAAAGCTAAGGCATCTGAAAAACTAGGTTGTTTGAGATGTTTTATAAAGGTTCTTTTACTATTTTAAAGAAATTTTTTTTCCTATTTTTTTTTCTGGCCTTAAAATACTAATGTAAATTCTCTGTGCACAGTTTCTTTAAAGCCAGACTCACTCTTAAAAATACAAGTTTAAAATATGGTTTATCTAAAAGAGTTGTTATAAAACTAAAATTAAATCATTAACAGGTTTCTCAGTGTCTTCACAAATATTGATAAAATAACTATCTCTTAAAATATATACACCTGGCCAAAATTTTAAATGTATATCAAGAGATCTCTGTGTCTGTTTGTGTCTGTCTTTGTGTTTTGTTTTGTTTTGTTTTTTATCTCTGGAGGACTAACTATAAACGGCGCCTATATAAATTCTCATAGAAACAAATCTTGAGATCGAGATCAAAAAAATTTTTGATAAACAAGAACTAGTTCAAAGTTTATGATATAATACAAAGCATATATGCCTTAAAGTTATGTTAAGTATTAATAATTTACTTTGTTTAAATGTGTTTATTTTAAAAGAAATTTCTGGTATAAAAGGTACTTTTGTCTTTCCTGCTGTAAGTGAAAAATGTACATAGTATCTATATGTTGCTTTGATTTTTTTTTGTTTTTATTAATTTGCCTAATACTTGTTTAATTATTAGCCAGCCTAGAAAAACCTTGGCATGTGCCATTGTTTTATTAACAGCTGTGCAAAATGGAATTCCAGTCATAACAGAAACTAAAGTTACAACTAAACTTTCAGGTGTACTTTTTGCACCTATTTGTGAAAGCTGAAAATTCTAATGTCATATTACCTTGTGTGTTCACGTTTAAGTCATCCAGTCCAAAGAGATGACATAATTATAATGTATGATAATGCCTGACTGCTAACAAAAGATGTGACAATCCTAAATCAATGTAAAGTGAAATGTGTGTTTACAAAGAAAAAAATATATTAAAAATAGATATTTTAATGGTCCTAAAAGTAAAGTAATGAGTGTTAAAGCAAATGTTGAAGAGCTAAAAAAGAAATTAAAAAAAAAAAAGAGTTAAAAGTAACAAAGCTAAGGAAAGTGTTAAAGATATGAGAAAGGAATTTTAGGAAAAGAAATTTTGTATACTCAAATTATTTATATTATTTTAGTGTTTTGGGAACACATCAGCTGAAATAATTTTTGGTTAATATAATGGGTTGTTTCAAAATATGTACTTATAAACTAGCACTGAGTATAATCTTGGCTCTTGTCTGGGTTAATGATATTGGGTACATAAATGACTTTTTTTTTTAGATTTGTTTATGTATTTGTTTATTTATTTATTTTTAATTATTTTTTTAATAGAGGCATGTTTTATTTATTTATTTGTTTGTTTGTTTGTTTTGTTTATACATGCACTGGGTACAGTCAGAATCGCAGGAGGGTGAGAGAATTCACCAGAGCCAGAGCGGGGAGCAGAGCAGGCAGAAGGACCGAAGTACACTGCTGAGGGGAGCAGCAGGCGGCAGGAGAGGTCTGCGTGCTATTTGGGACTCTCCTCCGGTGGCCGGGGAGCAGCCGGGGATTGAAGCGGCACTGTAGAGGCTGGGGGCAGCTTTGCAACCCAGCGCTCAACCACTGCGCCACCGGGGAGGCCCTGTTTATTTATTTTATATAACAACCGGGGTACAGACCAGATGTGTGGGAGGTGAGAGGATTCACCAGAGACAGAGCAGTGAACAGAACAGGCAGACTAACGAAATACACTGCTGAGGGCAGCAGCGGGCGCGACAGGAGAGGTCTGCCGCCCAATTGGGACCCTCACCAGCTGGCCGGGATCGAACCATCGCTGCAAAGGCTACGGACAGCTTCACAGTGTGGTGCTCAACGGGCTGCGCCACCAGGGGAGGCCCCATAAAAGTCTTTTAGTGTCTGAAGAATTACTAAGGTTTTTGAGATGAAAATTAAAGGTTATGATTTGACTGTCAATATTATACTTAGGGTCGAAACTTTCATGGAGATAAATATGGTTGTTGTTGCTGTTTTCTAATATTTATGACAAAGCTTCCCAAAAAAACTAAATTAAAGTAAAATTTGTTAGCCTGTCATTTGATCGATTAAAGGAAATTTTGTGGAATCTTAGTAGAGCTTCAGAGACACTCCACAAAATTTCTTCTTTTCCTCCTGGGAAAGGCACTAGATAAATTTGTCCTATATGGTATACTTAATAAAGTTATGCTAAAAGGGAAGCATTGTCACTTGGGAAAATGGTAAAACTCTGATATGTACAAAAATGTTAACATTGGTTTTCTAAAACAAAATCTTTCAGTACCTCTTATGTACGTAAATTGTCAATGGTTATCGTTGCCTTGCAATATTATATACTTCAATGGTTTGATGTCTGCAGAAATTGTTTCTAAAAAAAAATATGAAGAAGGACCTCCCCGGTGGTGCAGCGGTTGAGCTCTGGGTTGCGAAGCTGCCTGCGGCCTATGCGGTGCCGGTTCGATCCCCGGCTGCTCCCTGGCCACCAGAGGAGGGTCCCACATGGCGCACAGGCCTCTCCTGCCGCCCGCTGCTCCCCTCAGCAGTGTACTTCGGTCCTTCTGCCTGCTCTGCTCCCTGCTCTGGCTCTGGTGAATTCTCTCACCCTCCCGCGCTTCTGACTGTACCCAGTGCATGTATAAACAAAACAAACAAACAAACAATTAAATGAATAAATAAAACATGCCTGTATTAAAAAAAAATACGAAGAAAAGGCCTCAATTGATTCAAATTGATACAACTTTTGATTTTTACTGTTTCAGCTAACTTGTATTTACATTTTGTGTAGCTTTGAGTAAAATTCTTCCAGGGAGTTGACCTAGAGCTGAACCAATAAGTAGAAAAACTAGTTTTGTTTGTAGGGTTTCGGAGACCTCCAAAAATAATTAAAAAGCTTGCCTCCATCGACAGGACTGGCCAACCCGAAAAAAGAAAAAACCCCGGTGGAGTCTGGTGAGACCAACTTTGTTTTTAAAGCCTGTATGGACTGGATTTTAAGAGTTCACTCTGATCCTATGTGGAGTATTTTAGCAAAGCCAGCAAAAATTGCTGTTTGGTTATTCTGTCTGTGATTTTATGCAAAAATAGGTAAATTGGTCTAAAAGTAAATTTAGTTCACAAATATTTTACGTACTGTTAGATAAAATTGGGATCACGGTAGAAAAATTCTCCTTCTTACTGGTGTTCCTTACAACCCTCGCGGCCAAGCCATTGTTGAATGCTCTCACCATAACTTAAAAACACTGCTTTCCTCTTTAACTATAAACAGAAAAGGGGTACATGGAGGATGGCATCGATGGATACAAGAAACCCTGTTATCAGCTCTTTTTACTTTAAATTTTCTGAATTTACCACAGGGGGGTAAAAGTGCAGCAATAAACATTTTGCTACTCAACCAGCACGTAGCATGCAAGAACCAGTATGGGTAAAAACCCCAGGAACAAATGTGTGGGAAGCGGGGGTCATGATTTTAAAGGGAAAAGGCTATGCTTCTGTCATTCTAGATGGATCCTCCGAAACAATATGGACACCTCTTCCGCTCATCCTGCCCGGGATCCCGGCCCTCCAAGAGACTGCCCCAGACTCCAGACGAAATCACCATGGGAGACCCTCCAGCGTCTCCTCAGCCACTTCTGTGGGAGACACAGAAGCCATTAATCCAGAGCAGGGCCCGTCTTTTGTTATAAAGAAAAAGAAGGTCACCAATAGTCCTGTTGCTCCCATTGCATGGGGCAGTGTCAAGGCACTCAGCAACCACGGTGAATGGTGAATGAGTTCTCCGCAAACAGGGAGCTCCAATAACCCGGGAAAATATGTTCCTTGCTATGGTGGCAGTCATCACTTGTGCCTCTGCCGTAGGTGCCAACTAAACACATGTATATTTGGCATGTATTCCATATCCCCCATTGTTACAGGTGGTAGAAAGGGGGCACATTGGGCCTGTCGATTTCGCCAACGACACTCAACATATGCCTGGGCCATGGTCAAAAGAGGAATCTTCTCGTCCTGATGAGGAGGAGCGTAGTTTTGATTTTACCTTAGGATATGAACACCTTCCCCTGTGTTGGTGTACACCTTGCACACCCATTGCCCCACAGACCTGGGTTAATACTGCTCCTCCTATTAAAATCGATGATCAATCAGGCTCGCAGGTTCATACGCTTATGGATATGTATGTTGCTCTTTCTTTTAATTTTACTGAAGTGAACACAATGTCCAAGGCACGAGGTAATAAGCTGGTTTGTCGACAAATTTCATATAAGAATTATACATATTCCCCTACTTTTTGGAATCAGTGCCATGGATTAAAAGGAAAATTGTTAAATTCAGGGAATTATACTTTTGTTGATTGGGGACCTCATGGGAAGTTTTTGACTCTGGTGAATCCTCTCATCCCAAGCATGTCTGGCCTGCACCCCAGCTCTTGTATGCATAATAAATAAATCTTTAGAAAAATGCTTTGTTAGCATACATTGGTTATTAATATTCTAAAGTAAAGAAGTAATAACATCTTTTTGAAAGGTTTTATTCCAGTAAAGTAAATTTTTAAAGCTATAACCCACATAAAAAAATTATACGTGGGATCCGTAATAATTTGTGAGACTGTAGAGACATCCTGAAAGAAAAATGTTTGAGAATCGCTGACCCAGTTCCTGGGCCTGGATTCAGGGAGGCAACAGTGTGACAAAGGTCTTGGTGCAGGAGAGGAGGGATCTCGGGTGTGGTTCCCAAGGTCTCAGTCTCCAGGGCGCTGGAAGGTGACTGTCAGGGCTTCCTCCTGTCCCCAGTTTCACGTCTCACAACCTGTGTCGGGTCCTCCTTCCTGGATACTGGTGACTCACCCCAGGGCTCATCCCCATTGCCTGGAGGGCTCCAGAGCAGCCAATCAGCAGCCCCGCGGCTCCCGTTCCAAAGCCCCCACCCACCCGCCGGGACTCCGTCTCCCCAGCCCGGGTGGGGGCACGTCCTGGGGGATGGGGGGCGCAGCCCTCCTGCTCCTGCTCGCGGTGGCCGCGGCCCCGAGGGAGACCCGGGCGGGTGAGTGCGGGTCGGGAGGGGACAGGGCGCTCCCAGAGGCGGGAGCGAGGGCGCGGGCGGGCGTGGGAAAGGCGCGACCTCGCCGCCGCCCTAGTTGTCCCCCCACCTCGGCCCCGCCCCGTCCTGGCCCCTTTCCGTCCCCCGAGACCCCAGCCTCCTCTGGCCCCCCGAGTCCCGGCCATTTCGTCCCGCAGCCGCTTTTCACTCTCACTCGTCTTTCACCCACTTTCTGTCTCGTGGGCGCCCCCTGGGACTCGAGCCCCGAAGGGGAAGGGGAGAAGAATATCCCGGGTCTCCCCTCCCGCCCCCAGGCCCCCACTCCCTGAGGTTTTTCCACACCGCGATGTCCCGGCCCGGCCTCGGGGAGCCCCGCTTCATCTCCGTGGGCTACGTGGACGACACGCAGTTCGACCGCTTCGACAGCGACTCCCCGGGCCAGAGCTTGGAGTCCCTGACGCCCTGGGCAAAGCAGGTGGAGCAGGAGAAGCAGGAGGAGCGGGTCGAGGACACACTGATCCTAAGGGGCCACGCACTGTGGTACCGAGAGCAGCTGCACATCTTGCGCGGCCTCTACAACCAGAGCGAGACCGGTGAGCTGGTGCGGGTCCGGGCCGGGTCAGCACCCCCATCCCCACGGACGGGGGTCGCTCAGGGTCTCCCCCTCCAGGCTTCTCTGCAATTGCCCGGGAACAGCCCACGGGACTTTCACCCCGTTTCATTCTGGACAGGCTCTCACACCTTCCAGAGGATGTCTGGCTGCGACGTGGGGCCCGACGGGCGCCTCCTCCGCGGGTACAGACAGTTCGCCTACGATGGCGCTGATTACATCGCCCTGAACCCGGACCTGCGCTCCTGGACTGCAGCGGACACGGCCGCTCAGATCACCCGGCGCCAGTGGGAGGCCCAGGGTGAGGCAGAGAGATTCAGGAACTATTTGGAGGGCAGGTACTTGACGTTGCTGCACACATGCCTGAAGTACGGGAAGGAGACTCTGCAGCGCACGGGTAAGAGGGGCCTGGAGGCTCCCGGTCCCCCCCTGCCTGGAGTCACTGCGGGAAATGAGTCCTCTCTCTAGTCCCGAGAGGGGGGCTCCCCTGGGTTTCATGTTCTGCACTAGAGAGACTCCCAGAGACTCCGGCTTCTCCTGAAGGACAGTGAAGGGATCCCGTCTCTCCTGAGAAAGACAGACAGTCCCTGACACCACACGTCACCGGGTCCTTTTGACCAGGGGCCTGTTTGAGAACCACGAGTTTCTCTCTCAGTCTTGTTTCTGGTCTGAGAACATTTTCAGTTATGTGATTCCTGCTTTTCTGTGTCATTCACCTTCCACCCAGGTCAGGAATAAAAAGTCTGTGTTCCACTCCCTCTGCTTCATCCTACCCTGGGTTTACATCCTCATTCTAGAACTTTCTAAGGAATAGGAGAATCTCACAGATTCCCCAGATTAGCCTGTTTTTTACATTTTATGCTTCTAGCTGTTACAGGGCAAACCCCAATATAAAATGGGGTTTCCTGACTGTGGTCCTCACCTGCGCACTTAAAGGTGACGTATGAATGCTAAACTGCAGACACACACAAAAGGTTGATAAAAGGTTTATTTACACAGGGAGGGGAAATGGGAAATGAATAACTCAGGGAGAAAAAGAGGGAGATAAGTTCGTAAATACGTCCTACCCGTTCCGCTGACCTGGGATTCCAGTGACCCACAGAGGTGGCGAAAACCTTGCACGCCTCGTGGCCAAGCCAGACGCTCCTGGCCACATGACCAGTTAAATACCCAAAGGGAGAGCCTAGTTGCTTAACTCCACCCTCGGGTCCTCCCAACCTTCCCTTTGGTGATCGTGGGTTTTGTAGTTCCCATTGTCGTGGGGGTGGAGTCCACAAAGCCTGTATGGAGTTTGCTCAGGACATCCTTCACCCCTGTCATTCCTGCCACACCAGTTGTCTTGTCCATTGTGAGGATGGTCTCACGAGGATTCCTCAGTGTCCATGGAGGAAACACAAAGTGAGTTTTCTGATTTACCACCTCAGATCCCCCAAGGACACGTGTGACCCACCACCCCACCTCTGAGTTTGAGGTAACCCTGAGGTGCTGGGCCCTGGGCTTCTACCCTGCGGACATCACCCTGACCTGGCAGCGAAATGGGGAGGACCTGACCCAGAAGATGGAGCTGGTGGAGACCAGGCCTGGAGGAGATGGAACCTTCCAGAAGTGGGCAGCTGTGGTGGTGCCTTTTGGAGAGGAGCAGAGATACACGTGCCACGTGCAGCATGAAGGTCTGCTGGAGCCCCAAGTCCTGAGATGGGGTAAGGAGGAGGATGTGGGCAGTGAGGTTGTTCTCAGGGCCATCAGGAGCCCTTCTGGAGCCCTTCAGAGGGTCAGGATAAGGTCTGGAGCTCAGGGTATGATCTTCCCTTCCCTTCCAGTGCCCCCTTCTCAGTCCTCCATCCTCACTGTGGGCATCATTGCTGGCCTGGTTCTCCTTGGAGCTGTGCTCACTGGAGCTGCGGTGGCTGCAGCTGTGATGTGGAGGAAGAAGCACTCAGGTAGGGAAGGGAGTGGGGGATCTTGTCCACTGGGGGCTTTCATGTCCCAATGAGAACTTGCCCTGCCTGGTTAATGGGAAGTACCATCCACACACATGTGTGTTGCCCAGAGGGCATTTGGTCCAGTCCCCCCTCGCCTCCTTTCTTCATTTTTCTCAGTCCTGACCTGGGTCTTTAGTCCCAGTTCTGAAAACTTCCTGTTGTGCAGGATTAAAAGATTCCTTTAGATCTTCTGATCTGACTGCTCCCTGGTCTCCCATGATGCTTCTTCCCACAGGAGGACAAGGAGGAAGCTCCACTGAGGCCTCAGGTAAGTGTGGATCAGGGGTTTGATCCCTGAGCCCCTGGGGACAGTGTAAATGGACTCCATGGAGGAGTCACTCTCATCAGTCCCTCCTGTGATCTCATCTCTGACCAGGTTCTGTTTTGTTCTCAACCAGGCAGCGACAGTGCCTAGGGCTCTGATGTGTCTCTCAGCCCCTAAAGATCTTTTGCAATGAACCTGATGAGGCTCCTGTTGTGCACACCGTGGACAGCAGGGTGATGGTGTCACTGTTGTTCTTAACTGTGATATTGAGCATTTGTTCATATTTTTATTTTTCTATGTCTACATAAGCTGCTATGTCTATAAATAATAATAAATAAAATATAATAAATGAAAGATTTATTTATTCATGCATACAAGAACTGGGGTACAGGCCAGATGCACGGGAGGTGATAAGATTCACCAAAGACAGAGTGGGGAAAAGAACAGGCAGACTGATGAAATACACTGCTGAGGGGAGCAGCGGCAGAGGTCTGCTGCACCATGTGGGATTCTCGCCCGCCGGCCGGGATCTAACCTACTCTGCAGAGGCTGCGGACAGCCTCACAGTGCTGTGCTCAACCACCAGTGCCACCAAGGGAGGCCTGGAAGTCAATTTTTTTTTTTTGCTATATTTATAACACTGTTTTTTTGTCCTTATTAAAATTGGGTTATATCTTGCTGATTATTGAGTTTTAAGCATTATTTGTAAATTCTTGATACAGTCCTTTATCACTTTAGTAATATGCAAATGTTTCCCCCCACTCTGTGACTGAACTCCTTTACTGGCATGAAAACAAGCATTATTGTCCAGACAGAAGCATGGATATATTTTTTTAGAAAAGAAAAGATAAATTGCTAATTGGTTTTGAGCAGATACTGTCTGACTGGGATGTTGGGTAAATGCCCAGCGAAACAGGGTTGGCCCAAAGCAGGCCCACTGGGCCCGAACGCCTGCCACAAGGGTAAGGCACCTACTGGTAGAGACCCATGGGACAGGGGCAGGAGGGGCCAGGCAAGTCTGAAGGAAAAGAGCAAAATCAAAATCCACATCAAGACAACAGCTGCCATTGTCAGCGTCTCCATGGGACTCTCACCCAAGTCTTTGTCTCTTTCATGTGTCTCTTTCTGTGTCCCCAATTCCCTGGCACAAGTCCAAGCCTGAGGAACAAGCCTGGCTGCTTCTTCACATGTCTCTCTGCTCCATCTGCCTCCTCCAGTCTTCTTTCCTCATCTCAATCCACGTTTTTCTCCTCTTCCTTAGCTTCTCATCCCTGCTCAGCCCCACATTTCCTTGGGTGGGGCGGTAACCTGGAACCTCTCTTTTCAATGGATAGCACATTGGTCCTGCCCCAATGGAAAACAAATGAAGTTTCCTCAAAATATTCAAAATAGACCTGTCCCATGGTCAAGCATTCCATTCCTTGGTATTTATCCAAAGAACGTAAAATGCTAATTCCGAGGAATATGTGCCTCCTCTGGTCACTGCAGCACTGTCTACCATAATCAAGCAATGGAGACTACATAAGTACCCAACGGCAGGTGAGGGGATAAAGAACACAAACCGTATACACAATGGAATACTACTCAGCCTTGAAAAAGAAAAATACTGACTTTGCAACAAGGATAGATGTGGATGGGATTATGTTAAGTGAAATAAGTTTGAAGGAGAAAGTTAAATACTGGATGATTTCATTCATATGTGGAATATAAAGAAACAAAGCAGGCACAGGTGAAACTAAACCAAAACAAACTCTAGAAATATGACTGTGGAATTGAAGGTATGGGGTGGGGGTAAGAGCGGGAAACAGGTAGGAAGAGGGCCCAGTGAACTATGGTGAAGACTGTGGGTGCCCTTATGGTAGGCGTGATGTGGTAACAAACATCTGAAGAGGGGTGACCCTGGGCCTCTGAACACATACAGTGTGTAAAGCAATGTTACCTCAACTGAATAATACAATGAGGGGAAAAGGAAACGAAAAAAGCAAATTGTCTCCTCCAGCAGTCACTGACCTCAGGACTTTGCCTTCGCCTCCTCACTGTCATGCAGGCTGAGGGGCTGGTTTCCCACAAGGTCAGAGGCAGGAGGTGCAGGGACTCCTGGGGTTGTTCAGACCCCGCTGAGTAGAGACACTGCAGAGAGGGCAGCTCTGAGGGGACCAGAGACAGAGGGTCAGAGTAACCCCAGTGCTGAGTGAGGGTCTGGTTCCCAAGGAGAGGGGAGTGTGTGTGTGTGTGTGTGTGTGTGTGTGTGTGTAACAAGAATGACAGGATATACAACACAAGATGATGGGAAGACAATTAACATCAAGCCCCAGAATAAATGAATTGAAATCGCACACAGAGTAAAGAGTGTCAGAACAATACCTCAGTAAATGCGGTTCCGTGGAGAAGAAGTTTCCAAGCAGTTTCCAAAAGGCATTGGACCTGAAGAAGAGGCTGAGGTTTAGAAATATCTCATGGTTGGCCTGAGGTGTAAGGAGATGGGCAGGACCCCTGCTCCAGGCCCCTGCTAGGATGTGGTGGTAACTTCACCCCTGACAGCTCCCTCCCCCAGTCGCCAATGTTCATCTCCAGTCCCCTACGTTCATCTTCTTTGGAGTCACCATTGAAAACCCATGGGCCTCAAAATGAGGTTGTTCCATGAGCTTCAGCTACTTTCTCTCTAGACCAGAGCTGGAGGGAGCCACACAGGGGGAGGAAGGAGTGTGTGTCCCCCACTGGCCTGGCCCAGGGGCAGGATTAGGCCAAGTCACCCCAGTTCCTGAGCTGAGCCTTTGTCCACAGTCCAGGAAGGGAGGGAGAGATGGAGCAGGGTCTGTCAGGTGTTGGGCAACACCACTCTGATAAAGAAACGGGAGTCGGGGAGCAGGCTACATGATGCAGGATGCTGCGAAAGAGCAAGATCCTGGCCATTTTTATTGCTAGAATAATCATACAGGTTCAGTTACATGGGGTAGGAGGACAAGGAGGAAAGGGTGGGTGAAATAAGGAATGTCATCTTGGGCTTCAGGGGGACAGGAGTCTGCTGACCAGATAATTCTTATCTGCTTGATGATCAAGTGTTGGAATCGAAACCAGACCCCAGACCCTGGACCATGGGCCTAATCTTATCAACAAGGCGGTCCCCTGGTCAGCTTCTGGGCTCCCTTGTCCCATCTCGTGATGCATCGCCTTCCCAGGGTGATCAAGCTTTCTCTCTCGAAAGATTTGAAAGGCACCTTGTAAGGTCTGGCTCCCGTGACTGAGTGACCGGGCAGTCCTGACCTTGTGCAGGAATGCAGAACTGCAGGTCACACAAAGGGCAGCTGAACAGGCTGCTCAAGTTTAGAGGACCCACCAGGGTCTCCCTCAGCTCCTAGGGGAAGATGTAATGTTAAAGGGGCGAACTGACGTTTCTTTCTCATTCTGGGGCTCTCCCGTCTCCCCAGCGCAACCCTCCATGTGCAGCAGGGAGAGGATGTCAGGTCAAACCCAGGCTGCTTCCCCCACGCCTCTCCCCACTAGTGTTCAGGATGCATCTGCTTGTCCGCATGGCCACGCTGGAGGAGAGCACGGAAAGGTAAGTATCATTATGATATTTGCTACCGGGATTGGAGGGAAGTTTTTTTTTTTTTTTTTTTTTTTTTTTACAATAAAAGTTCTTTTATTTGGGTTGTTGCTGTAACAAGGCTGTGCAATTAGAAAAACACCTGGGAGAAGGAGAAAGTGTTGAATTGAGTTTTCATAATGCAACAAAAAAAAAAAAAAGGGGGGGGAGTCAACAATGAAAATAAGAGAAACATTTGCATGAATTATTCAGTTTAACCCACGACACCCTGTGAGTTGTCAGATACCATGATCCCAGCGTAACTAATGACTGTGGGGAGTGAGACTCAGAAGCGCAGCCCAGGCCACACATTGGGCGGCCCAGGGTTCTGACCACCCAGGAACCCTGCTGTGGCAGCTGCAGTGAGGAAGGGTCTCCGAGCTGAGGGGGCTGAGGCCTCAGTGTGGTCACATCCACTGGAAACATCCAGAGTGAGGGTTGGGTCCTCTTAGTGATGGGCACCCACTACCTGCCCAGGCGCCCTTCTACTGACAAGTCAAATTAAAAAAACATTCCTCCTGATGTTGCTCTGGTGCTGGAGGCAGGTGAGGTGGGAGAGAAAGTGGAGGTGATGCCAGGCCCTGTGAGCCCTCCCTGCCTGGTGTGGGGAGCAGAGAAGGCAGCTGAGGGTCCAGTTTGAGAAAGGCCTGGGGCGCCGTGGGGAGCAGAGACTGGAGAGGGTGAGAGTGTGCGGGGCAGGGAGGAGGCTCCTGCGGTCTGACCAGGGCAGGTGTGGTCACCTCCTCCCTAAGCGTCTCCTCTGCCCTCCCTTGTTCAACTTCCTCACCCACCTTGCAGGACAGTCATGGCCTTGGGGTCCCTACTGGACCCCTCCTGGAAGAAGTGACCTGCAGCATCTGCCTGGAGACAAGAGGCCCCTGGGAGCATCTCCTGTGTCCACAGCTTCTGCCAGGCCTGCTCTCAGCTGAGTGACTCTCTGACCCGCCGAGGTCACTGTGTGCTGTCCATGCTGCCAGGAGCCACCACAAGAGGGGACAGCAGGTTCAGTTTTATTCTGGTCAGTTTGTCCTCTGGGAGCAGACTTGCCCAGGGGTCATTTTCCTGCTTTTACATTTAATCTGGATCCCTGCAGCCTGGTGCAAGTGGTGGGGTATGACCAGCTTTGCTGAGGCCCGCTTTAGCAGCAAGCCTTGACAGAAGCCACGGGGAGAGAGGCCCATGGCATTCTAGGCCCAAACTCAGCATGTGGACTGTGGGTCTCCCTGAGCTCTGGCAGCGTTGGCCTGGGCTGTGCTGTGGCAGGTGGGAGACCGGCCTGGTGGGCTGTGATAGAGGGGTGCCTGCTCTGGGTGCTCAGGTGAGCATCTGGCCCTGCTGAAGCCCACACCCACTGTGATCCCTGATGCTGCGAGGAGAGGGGACCTTACTGCGTGCAGCCTATGGGCCTGTTTGATGCCATCTGAGTGACAGCAGCCTGCACTCCAGGGTGAGACTATCTGACCTCAGGCATCTGGACACACTGGCAGGTGTTTCATTTGAGAACACAGTGCCAGAATTGTAATGGACCAAACAGATTCAGGCTCTGACAGGGGTCATTCAAGATATTTTTTGTTTTGTTTGTTTGTTTTAAAAGAGATTTTTATTTTTACTTATGTATGCACACAAGAATGGGGGTTTAGGCCAGAGGTGTCAGGGGTAAGAGGATTCACCAGAGTCAGAGTAGGGAGCAGAACAGGAGGATCTACTGAAATACATTGCTAAGGGGA